CAGCGTTAATTAATAATCAATCTTACAATATTTTGTCGCTTTTTCCCCCCAAAATTTTTTTTATTCTTGATTTTAAAAAAAAAAATTTCTTTTTTATCTCAAATTTGACAGCTGCTAATTGTTATTAACAATTGACATTGTTTATTATTTTTTTCTTATCCAGCGTTAATTAATAAGTAATTCTACAAAGTTTGATCGTTTTCTCCCCCACCCAAATTTTTTTAAAACTTATTTTTTCAAAAAAAATTCCGTTTTTTAATTTTAACTTGAAATCTGCCAATTGTTATTAATAATTGACATTGTTCATCATTTTTTTCTCATTCAGCGTTAATTAATAATCAATTGTACAATGTTAGGTCGTTTTCTCCCCCTCTAGATTTCTTTTAAAACTTTTTTTTCAAAAAAATTCGATTTTTTATTTTAACATCTGCCAATTGTTATTAACAATTGACATTGTTTATCATTTTTGTATCATTCAGCGTTAATTAATAATTAATCCTACTAAATAACCCTTTAAAGTTTTGTTGTTTTTTCCCTCCTAGAATTTTTTATTTTTGCTTTTCCAAAACAATTACCTTTTTTGCTCTTCTTGTCAATATTTTTTTTTAGAGTATAATTTTGCTAAACAATGTTCAACCGAAATAGATATAATGTTAATTGAAAATTCCTGTAAATGAAAATTTTTGTTAAATTTAATTTTTTAATGAACGAAAATATTTTCTCGACCTCAAAAAATCATTTTACAACTAAAACAAATTTTTGATTTTGTTTTATTCTTTTTTTTATAATTTCTTTTCGTTTCTTACAAATATAAATCAGTTCTAGTGATAAAAGAAAAAAAATTGTCCTTTCTAAAATCGTTTCAGTTAAAAAATTACTTTTGCCGCCTAATAAGAATTTTTTTACTATACAAAATTGGATAAAACTGAAAAAATTTTTGCAATACGTTTTTTTTGTTGGAAAAAATTCATTTTTTCAATGGTTTTAAATTACTTTTGCTGTCTATTCACCGGATGCTGGTTAGGCAGCATCCGGTGAATAGACAGCAAAAGTAATTTAAAACCATTGAAAAAATGAATTTTTTTCAACAAAAAAAAAAAAAAATATTGCAGAAAATTTTACAGTTTTATCCAATTTTGTATAGTAAAAAAAAGTTCTTATTTTATATGTATAATAAAACGTTATCTAATTTAGATTATAAATTGAGATCACGACATGCAAAATTTCTTAAATAATTGTTAATCGACAAAAGCTGCTAATTCATGCCCATATAAAACAACTGCACACACAAAAACCCATTTCATATGAATTCAAGCGTAACATGCGCTGAGATTATTATGCGCACAAGTAAAAAGTAGCAATTGTAATCTTTCTATAAAAAGACTAACAGTCATCCATTAAAATGTCAAACAAAATTCAATTTCTTAGTTAACGCTAAACTCAAATGAAAAGAGAGTAAAAAAAAAATGCCGACTAACAAATAAGATAAGACAAACTCATGAATATAAATTTATAATAACTACTTCAAATTTTAAGTCCAGGATAATATTTCTAATTACATAATATGTTTGTGATAAATGGATAATACGTTTTTAAGTACTTTTCCCATTTACGCACTTCAAAAAAAAGGAAATCATTTTTTCTTTGGTGAAAACACTTAGAAAATAACAAGAAACTATTAAAATGTTTGAAAGAAGAAAAAAAAAGCGATGAAAGATGATTATTGAAAATTTATCAAATGTTCAGGAATGGATTTTATCTTTTAAATATAGTGAAACTTTTCTAGAGGGGGGAAAACAACGGGAAATGTTTGTAAATAATGAATAGATTTTTTTTTTTCCACAGACAACTTTCAACGATGAGATTTTTTTTTTCTTTCTTTGATTTTATTTTGCTCTCGTGAGTTCAGTGTGCAGATAAATATAAAGCATATAATCCTTTTGCAGTGTTAACAGATTTATATGCATATGGATATACAGGCGGTACAAACTCGATGCTTCACCTAGTGATATACCTTATGCACCGTAAACGGTAGCTATATCCCCGCCCATATATGCATTCCGAGAGCATTCGACTAGAAATTGCTCTTTGACCCCTTTATGTAATCCCCCTTGCAAATATAGCAACGCATGAATTTATCTCGAAAGAGGAACTTGATTTAAAAAAGATACAAATTTTTCCCGCGTGAAATATACTATTTTTTCAAAAATTAATTTTTATAATCTACTAAAACCTACTATTTACTACTTTTTTTTACGTTATGCTACTATTTGGGTCCTATTTTTAGATTTCAGCCACTAAAAGCTACTATTTCTGTTTATTTTTAGAATTTCCACTAATTTAAAATTTAAATTCGCTAATACCAGAAATCAGAAAACTATTCTCAAAAATTATAATCAAATTATTTAAAACGATTAAATTATTTTCAAAAAATATTCGAAATTCAATTATTTTCAATATCCAGTATTTTCATAAAATTTCGCAAAACAATTCAATTATTTAAAAAAAAATTCATCAAAAATTCAATTATTTTCATAAAAAATAGTAAAATTTCCACAGAAATTCAATTAATTTAGAATAGCATTTTCAAAAAATTTTCGAAAAAATCAATTATTTAACAAAATTTTTATACAATTCTTCACAATAATTCAATTACTTTCATTAACAATGACCTTTTTCATAGAAATTCAATTTTTTGAAAAAAATGTTGATAAAATTCTTTACCGAGATTTAATTATTTTCATGAATAATAAAACTCATCGAAGAATTTTAATTATTTTTAATATCATATTGAATTAATTAATCGAAAAATTCAATTATTTTCACAAATTAAGTTTTCCAGACGAATTCAATTATTTCTAAAAAAATAACATAATTTTTCACAGAAATTCCATTCTTTTTAAACATTTTAATAGAATTTCTCGCAATAAATCAATCAATTTCATAAATATTAAAATTCTTCTCAAAAATTGAATTATTTTTTAAATTTTTAATAAAATTCTTTGCAACTATTCAATTATTTTCGTAAATAATAAAATTCATCGCAGGATTTCAATTATTTTTAATACAATTTTACAGGAATTACTCAAAATATGTATAATTATTCTTAAAACTTTAATTTCGTTCCCTCGAGAAAATCAATTATTTAAAAAAATGTTTTAATTAAATTCTTTGAATAATTCAATTATTTTTATAAATAACAATATTCATCACAAGAATTCAATTATTTTTAAGAGAAATAAATTTTTTCTTGGAAATTCAATTATTTTAAAAAATTCTAATAAAATCGTTGTGCAAGAATTTTAGGAATTCAATTAAAAAATGTAATAAAATTCCACACATATTTAAATTAGAATTTGCATAAAATTAGTCGAAAGAAATGAATTATTTAAAAATTCTTATAAAATTTTCAACAAGAATTAAATTATTTTTATAAATATTTAAAATACTTATCATAATTCGAATCCTTGGTGAAATTATTGTAATAATTGTGATAATAATTAGTAATTTAATTTGTCAATTTTTAGTAATAGTAATTTTTTTTAAAAATAACAATTTTGTTTAAGTAATTATTTTTGTAGGCATTAAAATATAAATTTTATTCAGCAGAATTTTCTATCGATAACATTTTTCTGTAGTTGAATTTCTTTTTAATAGATTCTTTATTTACCTATTAATTTATTAACAGAATTAATATTTTTTCTTTAACAAAATAAATTTTTCGTCGAATTTGAGTTAATGCTAATCAAATTTGACTAGAATTTTCCTTGAGTAAAATTTTCTATTTTAACAACATTTTCATTTAGCTGAATTTTAGTACAGTGAAATTTTCATTTATCTATTTTTTAACAGAATAAATATTTAGCCAAATTATAGTGTGATGTAATTTAAATTCGACTAGAATTTTCATTTAGCATAATTTTTACTAACCAAGATAAATTTTTTAATAGCAAATTCTGCTTAATGAAAATTCTAGTCAAAATTTAAAATGTTACACTGAAAATCGGAAAATACGAATTATATTAAAAAACTAAGTGTATAAAAATTTTATTAGAATACATATTAGATTAAAATTCATCAAAATGAAAATATTGCCAATAGTAAATTCTGATCAATGAAAATTCAAATCAAATTTAAATTATATTACACTGGAATTCGACTAACTATTAATTCTGTTGAAAAATTAGAAAAATAAAAATCCTACTAAACAAAAATTCAGATAAATTAAAAATGTTATTGAAAGAAAATTCTGTTCAATGAAAATGTTAGTCAGAATATAAATTCTATTACACTAAAATACGGCTAAATATTAATTCTGTTGGAAAAATAAATAAATAAAAATTTTACTGAACAAAAATTCAGCTAAAGAAAAATGTTATTGATTGAAAATTTGCTGAATGAAAATTCTAGTCAAAATGTAAATCACACTGAAATTCGACTAAATATTAATTAGTTTAAAAAAGCAGAAAAATAGAAGCTCTACTGAACAAAAATGAAACTAGAAAATGGTATTGGTCGAAAATTCTGTTGAATGAAAATTCTAGTCAAATTTTAATTATATTACACTAAAATTTGGCTAAATATTTATATTATTTTTACTATCTGCCCTTTAAGTGCTAATTAATTGTTTAATTTTCATTAATTCTACTGTAAATCTAATTTACATTTAGAGAGCATAGATAAATATTTTTTATAAGACTTTAATTGGTTGCAAAATAAATACAAAATCAAGTAAATGTGCAAAAAGTAAATAAAAACTATAATCTCAATATTCTAAATTGAACACAAAATAATGTTTAATAATTTTAATTAAATATTTTTAAAAAATGTTTTTGAATATTTATCATATTGAAAGGTAGCAAAAAAAAATTAAAAACTTATTTTTTACAGCTCGCTCTAATTCAAGGCAATGAAAAAAAAAATTTTTATTTTCTTTCTTGCACGAATAGATATTGATTTTTTTATAAATTAAAATGGTTTTTTTTATCAATGCAGATGTTCTTTTTCAAATGTTCGTCATAAATTACGTGTCAGTTAAAAAAACCACTCAATCGAAAAGGTAAGATTTTTTAAAACTTTTCTTTCTGCATAATCACAATAATAAAATAATAAGTTTTATAGTATAATATTTTTATATAATTAAATAATAATAATTTTAATAAATGCAAATAAATACGAATAGAAACAAATTATAGTAAAAACTATATCAAGCAATAGAAATTAATAACAATAAATGAAGAATTCTTCATCGATTAACAAATATATTGAAAGTGTTTCTAGAAAAATTTGTCCGACATATTAGATCCGCTGTTTGATTTTTTAAAATCTGACTTTTAAATAAGAACGTAAAATAAATTAATTTGTATAATTAAATTTTTATTGCAAATTAAAATAATATAATTATAAAATTATATATTTTTGATACAAATTTAAAAAATTATATTGAATATTTATCATATTGACAGTTAACTACAAAAATTAAACATTGATTTCTTATTCTTTAGTATGCAAAAGTTCAGGAAAATTAAAAAAAATTGTATTTTAATACGGATTCTTTTCTAAATAGAAATGAATATTTATGATTAAAAATGTAAAAAAGTAAATTTTGAAACTACTCAGATTTTTTAAGCTTTATTATCATTTTAAATTCTTAATGGTTTCTAAATTATGTTATAAGTGAACAATATTATTTTACAGATCGATCGATAGAGAAGAATATTAATAAATTTAGATCAATTGATCCGTATACAAAACAAATTGTAAAATTACTGGTTATTTGCTTTCTTTGATAACAATGAAGACAATAATTATTCTTAGGAAAATTATCACAATTATATTTGTTGTAAAATTAGAATCAACAAGAATATTTGCATAGTCTAGAATAATGAAATTGTAAACCTGAAGAGATTACTGTTAATATTTGTGAAATTCCGCAGAGTTATTTAGTAGATTAATTAATTAAAAAATCCAAAAAATATTGCAAAATAAACTTTCCGCATACTTATATTGTAAGCTTTTCATGTTATGGATATATTATTTGTTTCGATAATTATCTTGTGTATCAGGTGTATATTATCAATAGTGAAATAAATATTTATAAAAGACATTTATTTTGTGCTGTCTATCTTTGAACATAAAAAACTATATAAAATGTAGCATATAACTTTTATTTCCCCAACCTAGAAAAAATTTTTTTTAATAATTGTTTATCATTACAAAATATTCTTTTCAGAATGTTTGTCATAAACTTTATATATCTATCACTTGAAAAAATATTATTCGCTGTTAAGGTAAGTTTGCACATTTTTTTTAAATAGTAATTTTATGTTCAGAAATATATTAATAATGATCAATTTAAATGATTATGTTGCCGCAGTTTAGAAAATTTTATCAAAATTTGTGGAGAAATATCTATTTTCTAAAATTACCGTAAAAATTGTGTTTTTCTGGTATTATTATTTGTATGTTTTTTGGGATCATTTAATCCGTGCTGGAAGTTAAATTTTATAAATTCAAAATGGCGGCTTTAAAATGGTGACCGAAAATTTTTTTTAATTCAGTCAGATTAGTTGAATTTAAATTTTTATTGGGCACCACTTTGTAGCAGTCGTTTTTAATTTTTCAATTTTGAGTACAGATTCGTGTTTATCAACTCCGAAAATTCCCTAGAAAATTAAATTATTTTTGGTCGCCATTTTGAAGCCGACATTTTTAATTTTTTAATTTTGACTACTGATACTGATAAAAAAACTTTAGCTGCTGTTACAAACGCAATAAGATATTATTCGCTTTGTAGTAATTCCGCAAACACAGAATTCTGCTAAATGGAGAATAATCTTTAAAGGATTATTTATTATTATTATTATTAATTATTAATTTATTATTAATTTATTATTAATTTTAGGATTTTAAATAAGAATTCAAAATAATCAATTTTTAGAGTGGAACAATAAATACATCTCCGAATTTTTGTTTTGTACTCCTTCATACCTTAGGATCAACAAAAAGCAAACAGAACAAACAAACAACAGAAGCAAAAATTGACAAACATTGAAAGCAAAAATAGTTGCATTGCCTTCTCACAGCTATGTAGTTTTTACATCCACATTTTTTTTAAACCTAAAGTAACAATAGAATGACTATGAAATCAGGAATAAAATTTAAAGAATTGTAAAAAAGCTGAAAAAGAAGAGGTAAAAAAGAAACAGAAGAAGAAGAAGAAGTAAAAAAGACAAATATTAAATAATAAAAGTATAAAAATTGAATAAAAAAGAATAAGCAATCGACAACTTGTAGTAAATCGAAAGGTTTTTTAAGCAAGCAGGCAAAGGATAAAATTAGAAAAAAGGAAAAAAAATTTTTTTTTTGAAAAATTGCAACCGAGGATAAATTTTTGCAAAAGGTAAATGTAACTCCATCTACTAGCAATGACCCGAAGTGCAACGTGAAAATAATATGAAATTCTGTTTGATCGACAAGCACATATACTCAATACAATCGAAATAACTAAAAACTCAAACTAAATCACTCACACCTTTTAAAATTAAGAATGACTATTACTAACAAGCTTTTCATTAGCCACACCTAGAAAACAGAAAGTGGTATAAAGTAATAAGAAACTCACCACATATTATAGTTTATTTCTACCTTATCGAATAATCAGAATCGTGTGATGTTTGAGCCAGTAGAACCTGTTTTCTAAATTCACATCTCTTATCCTTTTATACATACATACATATACATATACATATATATATATTTGCTACTCTTTATTTCCACTGGTATAATCCTTTATAAACATACATGTGTATAATAAATATTTATTGGAAAATTATCCACTATTTACGATACAATTTCTTATAAATATATATTGGCAATATTTCTAATTAGAATACGTCGAATTTGATTTTAATTTCGAAACATTTAGAGATGAATTATTATTATTTGTGGAAGATGAGGCGACACCACCAACTTTGATGACTTCGAATTTTTCAGCTAATGACAAGAGCCATATGTATGAATATAAATTAGAATCAATTTTATCAGTTGCTTCTTTCATTGATTTTTCAAATTCGACATTGACATCGCCACTTTCTGTGACAATTGTACGTATTCCATTAAGAGCTTTCAGCATTTCTGACGATAGTGTTTTATCCCTCATTAGCCAAAAACCAAATGTTGATAAAATTACGTCCACTATTCCAAGATCCAAGTTCACCTTTTGCGAGAAAACAGAAATTGAATTTTTACTATTTTTGAATGTCAAAATTTGGTTGAAATTATTTTTTTTTTATTTTCACTGGTTTATATTGTCAACTGAGGTTATTATGGTGAGGAAAAGGACTATTATGCTTTAAACGAGATTTTTTTTAATTAAAAATTTTAGAATTGAAAGCCAATATTTTACTCAAAACTTTAAGAGCGTATTTTTAAAAATAATTTAAGGGTTTATTTTTACTTAATGGTCTATTTTATAATTTTTTTGTTACTGTACTCATATAATTACTTTTTGAATTCACTTTAAAATTTAAAAATTTAATTTTAAGAATTTTTGAAGAAATTTCAATTATTTTTAACAGAATTTTAAGGAATTTCAAATATTTCAATTATTTCAAAAAATTACAATTACTTGTTTATAAAAATTCAATTACCTTTAAAAAAAAATAAAATTGAAATATCTTAATTGTTCGGATTTTAAATAAATTTTTTCAAATTAGATTTAAAACTTTCAGGATAATTACCTATTTTAAAAATTTCGATACTGTCGCGAACTTCCCTTGAGTATTTAAAAAAAAAATTTAACAAAACTTTTTACCAATTCAATTATTTTTTTAATTTATTTAAAAACTCTAATTTTTTAGAATTTTTCTGAAATTGCAATTATTTTCAATAGAATTTAAGAAATTTCTATTATTTCAAAAAATTGCAATTATTTGTTTATAAAAATTCAATTACCAGTAAAAAAAATACAACTGAAATACCATAGAAATCTAATTGATTAGAATTTTAAATAAATTTTTTTAAACTTTAAGGGTGTCTGTCAATTTTAAGAATAAAATTTGTTCTACTGTAACTCCAACTTCCTTGGATTATTTTCAAAAATTTTAAAAAAAGTCTTTAAAAATTCAATTCGTTTGTATAGAATTTTTAAAAAATTTCAATTATTTTTAATTGGATTTTAAGAAACTTCAATTATTTTTAATATAATTTCTGAGAAATTCCAATTATTTGTAATTGGATTTTTAGAAATTCCAATTATTTTTAACAGAATTTTAAGATAATCTTTAATAAAAGTCTTTTAAAAATTTCAGTATTTAAAAAATAAATAAAAAATTGAACTAACATTTCTCAGGAATTTTAAAAGATTTTTAAACTACAATTTTTTTTATAAAATTTCAATTGCTGTGAAAAAATTAATAATAATTAAAGGTTTATTTAAAGAACATTTTAGTTTTAAGTAATTCTATTCCTAATTTAACAAAGAAATTAGATTTCTGAGAAATTTTCATTCAATTTTTTGAAGATACTTGAATTTAAAAAAAATTGTAAAATTCAATTATTTGAAATTATTATTTTAAATTTTTAATTTAAAATTCTTGGAAAATTCGATTGTCTTAAGCTCTAAAAAAATTTGTAATTACTTATTTTTTATAATTATAAACAAATTTAATTATTCAGAATTTAATTTCACAAAATTTTAAATAGTTTGATAATTCTTTAATAAAAGTTTCTTTTAAATTCAAGTATCATTTAAAAATTGAATTGAAATTTCTCTGAAGTCTAATGTTTTGAAGAATTTAAAATAAAATTATTTGAAATTTGCATAATTTTTTAAATCAACATTTAATTAATATTAATTTCGTCACAATAATTAAAATTTTGAAAAATTTTAGTTTAAAACCGTCTGAAAATTTTTTCTAAGTTATAATTCACTGCATTGAAAAATTTATTCTAGAATATAATTGAAATACAATATAATTTAAAATTCATTCAAAAGTCTTCAAGTTGCAAACAATTCAAAAAGATTTCAGAATTTTAAGTTTTTAAAAAATATTTTTTTGTCACCAAAATACTTTATTTGGTAGAAATTATATATAATAGCCCCTAGAATGTCAGAATATCCCCAGTTGACAATTTAATTATTTTTTTAATTTTAAGCAAATTTTTTTATTAAATTTTTATTTTATAAAAGAATTTCCACACAAAGTGAAAAGATTGACTAGATAAATAAACAAATTAAAAACCTACTTTATAACTGACGGGATCGTGAAAATTATTTAATCTCTTGTGCAATTTAACGGCAACCAACATTTTTGAGAATGCCTGAATTCTAGCTAAATCACCGGTTATTAGAATGAAATAATTATCATAATCAAACTCAGCTGATAATGGACCATTTGATGTTTCAAATTTTAACCATATTTGTGGCTCTCGTTTTCTCCTTCGATCAAGATCATTCCTAACGACTTTTAAATTTGGAAACATTCCTGGAGTATTGTATATCATCAAACGTAAATTATTCTTAAATCGTTTATGAATTGAGCCTTGTTTTTTGTCAATGCGAAATGGATCGAAACCAAATTTACATAATTTTTGTCGTACTTGACGAACCTAAATGAATTGGAAAATTATTTTTCTTTCCTTAAATTTTTAATTAAATCTACAGTGAAAAAAAATATTTGATTCTAATAATTAATTATTACAAATAGCAGTTTATTATTATCAAATAAATATTTACTCGAATAAAATATTTTTTAATTCAAAATAAATTAAATGGTATTTGCTTCAATTACTGAAAATTATTGATTCAAATAGTTCCAATTTTTTTTATTTGAATAGAAATTATTTGATTCAAGAAAACATTTACTTTATTTTATAAATATTTTAGTTCTTTGAATAAAATGAATTATTTTTCAGTTTATTATTAAAATCTGTAAAATTTATATAAAAATTTTTGTATTTTATTTATTTTTTATTTCATTGATTCAATATACTATATTTATTTTATTTTCTCTATATATATCTTTTATTTAAATTTTTTTTTCTATTCTATTTATTTTTATTTTATTTATTTAAAATTTTCAATTTATTTCATTTATTCGATATATTCTACTCATTTATTCAAAAATTGTATTTATTTGAAATATTCTTATAATTAACCTGATAGTAATTTTTTCTTGGTCGAATAGATAACAGTCCGTTTGAATCCAAATATTTCATAATATGAGGATCAGGAATAAATGAATTATTTTTCATTGAACTTTTAACAGAACAGTGATAAATTTTCGTCACTGGATCTTCATATTCATTAATGGCATAATGTTCAAAATCGTCGGTTATATCAATTGAATAATGTGCACGTGACGAATTTGTACTTTCCTGAGATACAATTTCTAAAGCAAAAGTTTTTTTGGAAATTATAAAGTGACAATTTTTGTTATTTTTGTTAAAAATCCTATACGTTGAGAATTAATTCTTATGGATAAAAATAATAATTATTTTCAGTTGTTAATATTAGCGATAAAAATAATACCTAACTATTTTCAATTGTTAGCGATAAAGATAATAACTATTTTCAATTGTTAGCGATGAAAATAATAACTATTTTCATTTGTTACCGATAAAAATAATAATTTATAAATAGAAATATTAAAAGGACTCACCGAATGAAGTCAGAAGTAGAAAAGAATATAAGATACAAGACATCTTCCTGTAAAATAAATAATGTTTATTTTTAGTAAAATTATTTAGTAACAACGTTTCTTAATAACAAATCAATAATGTTCAATGGTAAAAAAAATTAATAATGTACATTTATTCCAAATAAATAATTATTCTTAATTTATCACAAATAAATAAAAAATGGTAATTTATGACAAATGAATCAATAATGTTAATTTATGACGAATGAATAAATAATAATAATCTATGACAAATTAGTCAATAATGTTAATTTATGACAAATTAGTCAATAATGTTAATTTATGACAAATGTAAAAATACTATTAATTTATGATAAATAAATCAATAATGACAATTTATAAAAAATTAATAATCTTCATTTATGATCATTAAATAAATTAATAAATAAAATTAAATTATTTATGCAATTTAATAAAAGATTGTGTACATATAAAAATACAAAATACAAACTTGTGTTTAATAATAATGTAATAACAAAGTAAAATAATTATTTCGGACAAAAAAACCAAAAATGTTATTTTGTAATAAAAAGAAATTATTTAATTGCATGAATAAACATTATTTTAATTACCAAAAAAATATTTATATTTTAGCAAACTATTTATTTTATTTATATTTATTTTCAAAAAATATTTTTCGTTTACAACTTTATTTGTAAACCGATATTTAAAATAGTATTTAAAAAATATAAATTAATAAAAATTAATAATTCATAAAAATTAATACTTCATAAAAATTAATAATTAACAATAAATAAATAACTAATTAATAAATCTTTATTATTTAAATATTAATTACATTTTTTTATTCAAATGTTATTAAAATCTGTGTTTTTTTGAATAAAAAATTTTTTTCTAGATAACTTCTGTACCAACGAAGCATTTTCGTTTGGAGGAATAAGAAAGTTGGAACATTTTCCGTGGCGGTAGCTGCTGGCTACGAGACGATTGTCAAACAGATTTCTGTTTATCGACAATATAAATAACAAAAAATTTAATTAGAAAATTTCCAGTTATTAAAATTTAAATTTACTTTGTAAATTTTCTTTCTTTTTGTCGGTTTTTAATTATTTTGTAATAGAATAGAACTAAATTCGACAATTTTTTTTTTTATTAAAAAATAGAATTCGTTAAATCAATTTTGTTTTAAATTTTCGAGAAAATTTTAAAATATTAAAAGAATTTGAAACTAATTGTAAAAGAATTTTAAAAATAAAAAAAGAAGTGAAAATTATTATTAAAGGTATTAAAATTTTTTTTTTAAATATTTGAAGAAATAAAAATGTAAAATAAATTAAATACGCAAAGATATAAAAATCAATTTTAAAAATTCATTATTTAGAAATAATTAAGAAATAATTAAGAGATAATTAAGAGATAATTAAGAGATAATTAAGAGATAATTAAGAGATAATTAAGAGATAATTATCTCAAAATAATAATTATATCTCTCCATAATCTTACGAATTATTTAAACTTCAAAAAGAAAATAATGTTAAATTTCGCATCTGCTAGTATAATAACATATCTGAAATTTACAATTGTAAATATTTTTCCATTCCCAGATAAAAATTTAAATTAAATTACCAAATATCTCACAGACAAATATTTGTCTAGTTTGAAAAATAATTGTTCTTCCTCAACAATTTTATACTCTTTTTTTCATTTCAATAAACAATTCCTATCAAACACGTTTTCTACTCTTTCTCAATTAAAAAAAAAAAACAAATTCAATTCGTCAATTTCTTGAATCAGGAAATAAATCCAATTTTATTCTTTAAATTAAAAATAATAATAATAATAATAAATCATTAATCTCCGCATCAACAATTCCGTGCATAAAACAAAATTCGTGAAATTTCTCTGCCTCTATTCAGTGGAAAAAAAGAATTCAAGAATTGTAAAATAAAGATCGAATCACGTTTATTTTGTGAAATTGGTAATTTTTTTTCCTCAACGATGATAAAATCATTGAATTCAGAAAACGACCTTAATTTATCTTTATATATATAAATATACAGATGCTTCTGTTATGCGCGCACTCCTTTTTTTAAATTAAAAAAAAAGAATATTATATATCCACGTGTATATATACATACATTGTATAAGTATATGTATATATATTTAAAATTTACAAAGCGATTGTGAATATATAGATATAGAGGTACTGTGTTTGGCCAGCTGATCTCGATCTTTTCCAAGCGATTGCCGCAGTCACGACTATCACGGATCCACGGCCCCAATTGATTTCCAATCGGGCACCGACATTTTCGCAATATTAAAGAATAGGGGAACCGGTTCGACCGATCTTAAATCGCGATTGCTTCTCTCTCACTCTCTTCTATACGGATCAACAATTCAAGAAATTCTTCATTAATTTTTTCGCGAAAAACGAAGAAATAAATTTAACAAAAATATCAACAAATTAATTTATGTAAATTATTATAATAAAAAAAATTTTTTTTACTTGAAATCCAATTATGAAATTGTTGTTATTCTCTAAATCTAAATTAGTAGTATTCTACTAATTAAAGAGTGGTTTTTAATACGAAAATTATTCAAAAATATCAATAACTTCATTTTTAAATAAATATTTTTAATTATTATTTTTCCATAGGAATTAAAATTTTTCAAAATATTCAAATTCAACAACTTATAAGAATATTTTTACAAAACATGAAGATACCGATTACTCCGAATCGAAGACTGAGAGTGATCGCTTTCTTCATGTTTTATAATAATTAAAACTTACTATCTTTGTTACTGTAACTTCTTCAAAAATAATTTTCATCATTAACGATTATTCATTTCTAGAATTTTCAACTAAAATTTTTCTTTAGGTCAATTTTTAAAAAAAAAATTTGAAAAATTTCTTTGATAATTTTCAAATTCTTTTGTTTACAATTTAATTTTTATGAAATTTCGATTATTCTGACATTCCTCAATTAAATATATTAGAAATTAAAAACTTTAAATAATTAAAAAAAAAATTGCTTTATACTTTTTGAAAAAAATTAATTCTACAGAATTCTTATAATTAAAAGTATGAAAAGTTCAAATTTTCAAAGATTTTAAATTTGAAACCTTTTGAAAATTCCATTATTTCCAAAAATTCACGCTATAATGCTTTCAATATTCAATTATAATCTAAAATTTTAACTGAAATTCATTTTCAAATCAATATTTATTAGAAAATTCAATGTTTTTTAAAAATTGAATTTTCATAAAGAATTTTATCAACAAAATTTTTAAATAATTTAATTCTCTCGGCAAATTTTAATAAAATTTTTAAGAATAATTTCATTTTTCGAGAAATTTGATGAAAATTATATTAAAATTTTTTGAAAATAATTGAATTTCGAAGAGGAATTTTATTTTTTATTAAGATAATTGAAATTTTGAAGAGAATTTCTGTAAATTTTTTAACATTATTGGATTTCTGGGAAGAATTATAATACTTTTGAAAATAATTGAATTCTTGAGATGAATTTTATTAAAATTTCTTTTTAAATAATTCAATTCTTTTGTGAAATTTTATTGAAATAGTAGACATTAAAAATAATTGAATTTTGACAAATTTTTGAAATTAATTAAATTTCTACCAAGAATTTTATGAAAATTATTTTGAAACAAATTTTATTGTTACAAAGAATTTCATTATTTATGAAAATAATTCAATTTTTTGAAGAAATTTATTTAAAAATGTATTAAAAATATTACCTTAATTGTAATAAATAAATTGTAGCTAAAGTTTTTAAAATAATTGTATTTCTATGCTGAATTTTAATAGAATTTTAAAAAAAATTGAATTTCTTTGCTGAATTTTAATAAGATTTTTAATAATAATTTTAACCAAATACCAGAAAGTTAATAATAATTAGAAGCCAAAAATTTTTTTCTTCCGTAGAGATTTTTATATGGCGATGACACAAAAATTTTTCAATTTTAAATTAAATTTAGTATTTTACTATAAAATTAGTATTTTATCAAATTAGTAGTTTTTTTCTATCAATTTTTAGAATTCTACAACAAATTAATCCATTGATAGATTTTTTACTGTCAAATCAGTAATTTTACTACTAAAGAAAGCAGAATTTTTTTTCCTATCAAATTAGTAGTTTTTTACGAATTAAAAAAGTACTGATTAGTAGTCTTCTACCATTAAATTATTAAGTAGCTTTAAACTAAACATAAAAATCATTTCAGTAAACGTATGTAAATCATTTATTTTTTTTTATCCAAAAATAATGAATTCCTTAACGATTCTCATTAATTTACCAACTTTCAGAACGAATTCATTTATTTTAATTATTTTCTTTTTTTCCAAGTGAAATTATAATTAAGAATTACGAATTTCTTTTATCAAACTCACGGATCGAGACTTAATGTTTAAAAGCAAGTCAATAAATATAATTGCCTTTATTTAAAATGCCTTAAATAATAATTGAAGTCAATTTCAATAATTTGTGAAAATCGAAAGATTTCTTTAAGTATGCAGAAAAAAAAAATCGTTATAAATAACATATTTTGGTAAGTATTTTTTAATTGGAGACAAATTTGCGATTAATTAGAATTCATAATTTTCTTTTTCTCCTCCTCTCATTAAACTTGACTTATGAAGTTATGAAGGCAATAACTTGAATTGCAAATGTATCTTTCTATATAAACCGAAAAGAACAAGAAAATAAATAAATGTATAATTAATATATTAATAGAAATAATTATATAATAGTTTTATAAATAATTCATATTAAGAAAAAATTTTTTTTTAACTGATTTCGAAAAATTTGTTATGTTATGAATAAACAAAATAATAATTAAACATGTTTCTTAATTTATATTTTATAAATGTAATTAGCGGAATTGCAAATGCATTTTCCTATAAACCAAAAGAAGACAAGAAAATAAATTAGTAATTAAATAAATTTCTAAAATTATATTTATGTATTAATTTCTATCACTATAAAATATAAATACGTCCTTCCAAAAAGTCAAATTAAAAAAATCC